TACCAAATAAGGGTAACCTTTGAAGCACGTAACTCCATAAAGCCATTCAGATTCAATACATAAAGAGTATACCGCCGAGTTTGTATATTTTTATGCCTTATTTTTGCCACAGCATTCTGGCGTTTTGAAAAACTTTTTCAGTATTTTTCAAGTACATTTATATGCTAATTTTATTTAGCACACAAGCAAATCACAAACAAAACATCTGTAGGCTTATCATTAATTTCGTTCAATCCCTAGTAATCTTATATTGCAAACGACAATAATTTGCCACCGCGGGTAAAAAAAAACGATATTTTAATTCAACAGTCACACTAACACAATTAGTAAATTAAGAAAGCTGGTTTTCCAGCAGGTTCTGCAATTTCCTAAAGGTAGTGAATATTGTTACTGTAATGAAACAATTATTAGTTAATCAGGTTCAGACGCATAGTAAAACTGGCTGTTTGAGTAGTAATGCTAATTAGAAGACCGAAAAGCTCAGCGCGCCATTGCAAATGGTCTGTCGTGAAAATTAAGCTTTATTAAGTGGTGTATAAAGCTGTAACGAATACAGGCATGTACAGTAACAAACGGGCAAATGTAATCAAACCTACTTTCTGCGAATGAAAAATGAAATGAAGAACAAATGATGAACGGTTAGTGAGGACAAGAGTTTGAGACAGTCTGTTTTTATGAGGCTGGATGATGCAAAATATAAGATAATGGAAGATTTTTTTCATTATTTCTTTACTTGATTTGTTTGCACCTCACTTACTCTCTGGCGATTTCAAGGGGGAAAATAACATTGTTAGTGATTGCGAAGACTGTAGATTTCTTGAGGTCTTGAAACTTTACCGTCAAAAGTGAAAAACGTTTGAAGAGTCTGATTGCTTTTTTCTACTGTACTTTGATCATGTACGAGGTATCCTGAGAAAAATACCTTCCTCTAGATGTCCACATTTTTAAATGTACCATAGAAATGGCGTTCTGGGATAATACTGGGGATTAAAACCATATAATTGCATTCTGATTGAAAACTGTCGTAAATTCATTATTAATTAATGACACAAGCAGGCAATAAAACAGTACGTTCCGGGTGTGAATGTCCTCAGTGCTGCAGCTCCTACAGTTAGATTTTATTTGGAGTTGAAATTGTTCCCGCCCATTACGGTGGTCTCTTATAGGGAAGTACTGTTGAATTCCACGACCGCACCACTACTAACACCTAACTGTTATATGCGGTAAAAAAAATGCTACCGTTCATCCTAACATACGAATTTCCAGTGCAGAGTTGGTTTGTATGCTCAAGTAAAGAGTTACAACGTTTATTTACGAATTCATGCACTGTGTAAACTGAGCAGATCTTCTCAGTTCAGCAACAAACTTGTATATTGACAGTCACAGCGTCACACAAAGTCCATCTGACAAATACCAGTAACGGGGAGAATGGCTTGTGTGCTAAAGATATCGAAGATTTGACCATTCTACAATGCGTTTTCGCAAGATCAGTTTTGTGGGTAGTAGATGGGCCGTTTCTCTGTGGCTCAGTGCTTTAATCAGCCTTGTGACCTAGCGATACTTATGTTTGCTAAATTGTGCATTCAGTACAAAACCTTAGCAGAATTCTGTCACAAGGCTGTAATTTTTTAAGGGCCACAAATTCTAAAAAAACAATTACCACAGAGGAGCCAAAAACTTCTGACAATTGGCTGATTACTACTTAAGAAAAGAAAGTTTTAGGACCAGGTCACACTCATCATATACAAATGGTAAATAAATAAGTGGGCAACTAATTTGATAGGCCTTAAACTCTTCAAGGGTGAATTTACTGCACGGAAAATAAATGATTTTTGGCACCTTATCAACTGACTTAAGGCACCAGAAACCTGCAGATACCGCGTGAAGTGGCCGGTCAGTATAGACTGGGATTAGATGATCATAACGGTTCATCTCACATCCTTACGGAAAAACCTAGCGTAAGGAAAAATAGCGTTTCCCTTTTCTCAACTACCTCGTCTCACAAAACAACAGTAAATTGAGTATCCAAAGTTGTGTTTGGAGAATTTGAAAAGATATCTGTGTGAGAGCACAAGAACAATTTTAATCAACATCTAAGATGGATCAGCGTGTGGTACTGCAGGAAGCATACAGAAATGACGAAAATGCACGGAGCCAACTCGACAATACATAAAGTAAGACAATGTTAGCAACATCTTGGAGTTCTGGTCAGTTAATTCGCCAAAAGAGCACATTATACATTCAAAGCCACTTTTTGATATGACGAACGGAGTTACGTCTACCAGTCCGTGTTGGCACACTAGTCAGATGTTTGGGTTGCATGCAATCATCAAACAGGTAACTTGAATCAATCTATCGCAGCAGGGAGCCCAAAGAAACCACTGTCAAAGTCTGACAAAACACCACCAAATGGAATGATTTTTGAATGCTAACATAAATAAAGCTATAAAGAAAGCACATGCAGTGATCAAGAGCCACTCCCGACAACAGCACAGGCCGTGTATAAGTGCACGGTTAGGCGAGCAAACGCCACTGGACAACGCAGTCTCATAGAGGTGCCATACTGTTTAGCTGCACAAAACTGCACCGAGCATGTCAACTGAACTGGTTGCGGAACGCAATAGATTGCGGGGTCTTACGCAGCGACAACTCAACAAGCTGATTAAACAAGTTCCAGAAAGAGTTGCCTGGTAAGATGAAACAATGTAGTCGGTCGACGGAATTAAGGAAGTTAAAGGCTACATTCAGAAATATGGAGATATTAACCCAACCTGAATGTCCTATTTTTGTTAATTCCAATAATTTGAGGTGCTAATGACGCCATTTGATTGCTTACGTCTTATTTGATTATTGAGACTCTTTCCACAAAACGGACATCAACCTATGTAACCAGAAGCAATGAATATACCCATCCAAAATCAACTAGAAATGACTTTTTCTGTGGTAAGTGAACCTCAATAAAATGTGGGAAAAATCATCAAAGCCCCCAAATATGTAGGAAAACATTTGCACTTCAGTTGCCCTGTTTTCTTTGGTTGTATAAACTTTGCACCTTAAATGACGCACGACGCTTGTTTGAGGAGTCTGGTTGGGCAACCAAATACTCTTACCCCAGCTCAAGTACATTCGTCTATCTGAATTTCGAGGTTATTTAACGAGCAATGTGAGTACGTTTATGGATACATATGAATATATATGTTTGTGCTTTTATATGCATGCATATGTATGTTTATGCATATATTCAAACGTGTGTACATATGAAATTACTGTGTTCAGCAACCCACATGAACACTTGGTGACACATATTAACGTATACATTATTGCCAGTACATGCATGCTGGGTTCATCAATAATATTTTTGACGTACTGATTGCTGAAATCAAACGTCAACCGTAAGTGAAGTTCAAATCGTTACAGGAATATTGGTGACAATGTGTGACAAAGTTGTTTAGTCCTGTGAATTGCACGTTTACGAAAAACAACAGACCGAAATGTATCTTCAAATCACTAATTTTCCCTACTAGTTAGAAGGTATAAAGTCGAAATACAGGTAATATTCTAACTGAAATGTATGTCAATTCGCCTTCCTGATCCCCATGAGAATGGTTGGTAGTGCAGCAACAACTACCAACCAATTTTTGACCATGGATGTTTCTTTTCATCAGTCAAGACCAAGCTTTCTATGCAAATAAAAAAATTTACGATGTCATCCTCAGGTTTTCCTGTCCACATATGGCATTCCGCAATAGCGCATGTTGTTGAAAATCCTTCCACTGGGCGACGCAATAGCGCATGTTGTTGAAAATCCTTCGAATACACTGGGCGAATCAAAGTTCACAAACTGAAGCGTAAGGTGATTGCTCTGCATGCGCAAAATCACTAATCGTAATAAAACCTGGTATCTTAGACCTTATTTTTGCCTGCCCAAACAGAGGGAATGAAAAAATTAGCTTCGAACGAAATTTTTCGTTGCACCACTTTAAAAGCACTGTGGCAGTAATTTTATGTGGTATCTCTGAAAGGGGACTCTAGCCAAACCAGCAAGATAATCAAAGTCTACTCATTTGATGCCCCAGCCTTATTTCGACAGTTTGGTAACATTTACGAAAAAAACATCAGAGGTGTAACGTCAGACGATAAAGTGGCAGAGACAATCGATCAACTACTATCCCATGAGATACAAAAAAGTTAATGATGAAATATATATCTAGGATTAAATAATTCTAAAGCCTTAAAGAAACGAAAAAGATAAGGAAAAATGACTCTCAACAATAATCCTTAATAGTAAAAATAACAAAGAGCCAAGCAAATCTCTGGAATACTTGTACGTTGCGGTATCCCGTTTTTTTCCATTAACCAAAGAGAGGTTTGTGATAATGTGGCTTGTTGATTCGCATAGCTCAACGGAGATTCCGCTTCTTGGTTAGAGACTCTAAGTCTCTCTTCCGCCTAATGTTTACCACTAAAAATTTTATAATTGCATATTATTATCATAGCTACACCACTCTTGTCTGAACAGCCGTGTTCCTGTTCTGGCGTCATTATTCCGGTGAGTTCACACCAAAGGGAAGCACTGGACTCGAGTTTCGCTCTTATTAGAGCTCATCAGCAGAGCATATCCAGTGGCCGTGCCGGGATTCCAACCCCGGACAGCTGACATGCGAGGCGAGTGTGCAACCACTACTCCACCAATGCACGTTAGACGCATCTGAATTATCACGTCTGAACAGGCGAACGTGTTCACACTTGAGCGATGTGATCGGTGTGCCCGACTAATCTAACGACGACCCAGTAACTGTCCTGGTTGTGACGATTGACCCGCCAGTCAGGACTTGCCAGTCAGGTAGCGTGGCTCACGCTATGAACAAAAATACCTATCCCGCAAAACTCCATAATCTTCACAACAAGGACAGTTACTGGGTCGTCGTTAGATTAGTCGGGCACACCGATCACATCGCTCAAGTGTGAACACGTTCGCCTGTTCAGACGTGATAATTCAGATGCGTCTAACGTGCATTGGTGTAGTAGTGGTTACACGCTCGCATCGCGTGTCAGATGTCCGGGGTTGGAATCCCGGCACGGCCACTGGATATGCTCTGCTGATGAGCTCTAATAAGAGCGAAACTCGAGTCCAGTGCTTCCCTTTGGTGTGAACTCACCGGAATAATGACGCCAGAACAGGAACACGGCCGTTCAGACGAGAGTGGTGTGGCTATAAACAAAATACCTATCACGCAAAACCCCATAATTGCAATTGCATATTAATCTTCTAAAATGAAAAATAACCTTGAGTTTCGTCAGCTTTTAACCAGAGAGTATCCGCCATCTTTCAAGATGTGAGCAGACGCAAAATCCATAGGCAGTGGTGGTCACGAAAAATCGTTGTGGTTGTTACTCAGATCTCCTTACAGATATGTCTTAAAGAGTGTACTGCATTAAATTTCTATTTATTGCCTCTTCACCACACAGCTCTGGTTTTTGAAAAATAAATTCCCAAGTACGGTTTTTTAAAAGATGCATCAAATACTAAGGAAAGAGAACTTTTCAAATTTAAAAATGGTTTTGCTTTGTTTAACAATTTATTACCAACAGTCTGCCTATAATTGTAGGGCACACTATCTCGCGAGTTCACTGACGGTTTTTCTTTGATGAACACACAACGTGTACTGATTTTATTTAAAACGAATTAATAAAGTCTAATATGCAAGCAATTGCATTAAGTAAATATTAACTTCAAACAAAAGTACTAAATCAGACAGACTGCACGCTTACTTCCTGTTGCATTTTGATTAGAATGAAATAAAAATAAGCATGCGTTGCAAACAGAGGATTTGATGGTTGTTATAATTAATCTCAGGTATCAATCTAAACGCTGTTTCATAAGACTGGAACCAACTGACTTACCAGCTGCTCGCTCTGTGTAACGTTGATCAGGAGAGTTGCATTTTTAGAGCGATTTGGCTGTATTTGGCATTTTAGAGACAACTAATTCCTGAAGCGGATGTGCAAAACGTCCTGAGCTACTTGAATGAGTGTTGCAAATTTATTATTTTTCATATGTGTTTTGCTTTTAAATGTCCGATATAAATTCCTGCATAACTACTAGTTGCATTTTGTTGTGGATTAGTTGCTTTGTTCGTTTTTTGCAAAGCATGTTGAATCAATCATAGGTGAATTTATATATTTATTTTTGTGCATTTATAGATCAAGAAAGCTTACTTATTGCTTAACGGAGTAGGTAACGAAGGTCAAATTAGTAGTAAAAGTTCTGCCTATAATAAAGTGCATCCCAAATCTTTAGTTGTTCTTTAGATACAGACACGCCGTTACGATATAATTTTGAACCTTACCCGATTTCAGTTGCTTATCTATAAAATATAGAATATAGAATATAAATTTGGCTTAGACAGAAGTAACTCATGGCGTGCAGTGAACAGATTTGCATAGAATTTTTTCTTTTTTTGTTAGTATTATTAGAAATTCATTCAAATATTTTTGTGTTTTGCACACATAGATATATTTTGGTAGGAAGCTTGAGATATTCAATTAGAGTTTTAAAGATATATATGATGTTTAAATTAGAGTTCTCAAGGGGTCTGCAATAGTTCGAATTGTGTCAATGAATGGGCAAATGGCAAGATATCATTTGGCATCAGGACATTTTTTATTGCTACAGGAACCAAAGAATCCTATAGGGTTATTCAAATTTCCTAATGAGCCAGCTATGCACTTCAAAAAATCTTATGTCAAGTAATGAATGCGTTTGATGAACCGGAAATTTAACCACAATGTAATTTTAGATATCATGCCGGTAATATAATGCGACCAGCCTGGTACTAAGAAGCAATCTATCGAGCATGTTGAGGGTCATTTTACTGAGGTACTGCGTTATTTCTCCAACTAGAATAGATTAGATCCGGTTTTGTTATATCTGAAAAAGGGTAGCTGCACTTTTCGGTTGTCTAGTTCATAAACGAAGCAAAATACCAATTCAAACACTGTTTTTTCATTATGTATTTTATTGTCATATAAGCAGACACAGCGGATAAAATGTCTCTTCTAAACTTATATGCTATTTTTATTTATATATGTTCCAAAGTTCTCAAATTTAAAGTAGTTAAATTAACTCTGAATGGACCATTTATGTGGACTTCATTTGTTTCATTTTTTTGTAGTGAAAGTGTTTTTCAGGTTGGTCAAATGGGTAGAATATTTTTAATTCCTGATCTGAAAATGAAATAATTGTCTAATCTGCGTGTTCGTTTCTAGGTTATTTGTTTTCCTCCGAGTAAGCAAGCCCAATAATTTCATTCCACAAATACCTGATTTCGCTGTAAATAGTATCAAGACTTACTGATGCCCTTAAGTTTTTCTACTATAAGTGTATGATACAGAAAAAAACATTTAATTTCGAGACTTTTCTTCCAATATAACGTTTACTTCACATACCAATGTGTGAGGTTTTGGAACTATAGTAGAAATTAGCGGACTGCAGTCGAACATTCCGTAACCTACCAAATATCATTACTTTCCCGTTTTAATGACCTTGTTATGCATACCTTTTAAACGAACAAAAAGGTTGCACATTCTACTTGTTATGTTTTGAATCATTAGACCTCAGGATTTAACATACAGACAGCACCACAAAAGAAGACATATAATGTTCGGAGGCTAGCTATTTTGCGGCCGAATAGTTAGCCTGTAATTAGTCCTGAAGCCAATATCAGGGAAATCCTCTGCAAACAGAGGTCACAATAGATGAAATGGAAGGCTAAACAGTTGAATAGCGTCTTGGTGGAAAATTTTCTAGACAGAAAGCAGGTAGGTGAATATTTCCTTTCAGAATGTCAGTCTTAGAGGTTGTTCATTCGTCAAGAGATGCTGTAAACAATTAACACACAGGATATATTTATACGTTTTGAATACGAATAATTCCTCCTTGTGGCTGTTTTTGGACAGCTATGCTTTATTTACTTCCGTCAGGAGCATTTCTTTACCTCCTGAATTTTTTCTTCTGTTTTTGGCATCTTCTGAGCTCTAAAAACCTTTTTTTACATCCTAGCTGTATGCATCCTGATAAAAGATTTTAATCAACCATGAGCACAGTGAAGTTAAAGGATATATCCAGAAACATTCATCATCTTGACCACTACTGCCATTTCTTCTCTGACTCAGTGTTGCCTCCCTTACTCCCACACCTGGCCACGCCATAAATCTCGGTACCTATTGCTTTCGCCACAATATTCCGAATCTTGACACGAAATCTTTGGTCTCACGACTGCTGGACATAATCCTACGCGCGCTTTTTATCTGTGACAGGCTAAGCTTGTACTTCAGGTGGCCGACTCTTTGACGTGAGCACTTGGGCTTCTGTGGCTAGTTTGCCTAGAAAATGTTTAAAGCTAACTGATGACAGCCACAGATAAAATTTAAACCTTTAGGTCATTTTTCTTCGAACTAAGTTCTGAAAATAATGTACGCTTGGGAGCGTTACTGTCAGATCTAGTTTTTGGAGGTACAAGAATGACACTGTCTGACGTGCTCCAAAATATGAACCCACGCAATGATGCTGGTTGAAAAGTCAGAGTAGTCGGCTTGTTTCAAAGAATGTAGATTTTAAGGTCTATGGGGAATTAACCAGGAAAGAAAGAGAAGCCCTCCGTAAAGATCAGAATAGGACATTGTCTAAGCCATTAAAATCGCAGCCCGTAGGCTATGGGGAAACATAATGGGCGCACGTCTGGCCAGAACAAAACAAAGATCTCATAGTAATGTTATTCGCTGTTCGTTAAATGATTATTGTTTACTCGTGATATGGGATAATTCCTTCAAAGTGACTGATTTTCAAGTGCAAAGTAACAATCAACAATCAAATTCCGATTGTCCACCGAGGAATGAGACACTATAGAACGGTTCTTTGGTACTTTAAGCCCGGATTTTGACATGCTAAATTACAGATGAACGGCATACTAATGTGGCGAAGCCCATACTGTAGTACTTGTTGACGCAGGGCCGCAGGAGTATGGTTATGCTACACGCTGCCAATAAGTGTTTTTCCGTGTTACCGTGCCAATCACTCATGTGTGTTCTTGCATGTCATTAGCACACTAAGACAAGCAAGAAAACCACATAACCAACATTTTAATCAATCGTTTGTTGATAGCTGTGTTGTTTTTGGGACTAAAAACACTTTTGTTCACTTCTTGCGGGTGTTCGTCATCACAGTGCATGTACATTTGTGATGAGCTCTAGGTGGTCTCGAGGTTTGCAGGAATCACATTCGATCCATCGTCTGTTAAACAGCCCTACTGGTCTGGCCTAATTATTGTGACGGCTCTTCATAAAGACGTTTTGTGTTCTAACTGAATTTCAGCCCAATGGAAGCTTGTTGACAGTGCATATCCTTGGCCTATCCGGAAGTTGAATTGAGGATAAATGACATCCAAGTTCAGTGTAGTAATACCACTCTATAAGAGCACTCAAGGAATGCAATTGCTTTATCATTCAACGGTGGTTGAAATCCCTCGAAGAATGAAACAATGGTCCAGTAACTACTTCGCTGCACTGGTTCAGTGAGGTCTGTCGGGTAGCTGTACGGACAATTGTGCAAACCAGATGCATGTTTTAGCTCAATCAAGCGGAGGTATCGTGTTACACATCCGGAGCTTGAAGTACGGTACAGATAAGGATATGTACAACCAGTGTGCTTTAGGCAAACTGAGAATCGAGTATGGTCCCTCCATTCCTTCGAATAGAAAATAGAATCCCAAATATACTCATTGACCGTGGAAAATTGATCTGTCCAATTTTCAACTGGAAAACCTATAGTCAACAAACTAGACGTGAACAAAATTGGCAACATTTGTTGCCATTAGAAGACGTTCAACGAATTTCAATCATTGAATGGAACGAACCATTTGCTGTAGTTGAAACATTATTAGATGATAAACAAGGTTTCAGCTGTATGTTTTCCTTCAATATATTGACATTCAGATTTTATTTCAATAAAATGGGTTAATTTTGCAGACAGTCTGAATAAACGGATAAAACGTTTTTATTTAATTAACAAATGTTTGTTTAGCGTCATTTTCAGCAGTAATTCAAAGTTTCATCCATGCTGTTTATCCTGGTCTCTGTGTTGCTTCTTTGATTTTTATCGGGCTGGTCAGTTGTAGTCGCGAATGTTCCATTATCAACCAAAACGTCATCATTTGTGCGTTTCCAGGATTCGTAGTGTACCTGGGTATCGGTGGTGGCTGACTGACTAGGGCTGAATGCATGTTATTATTCAGGCTGCAGGTGAGTTATGACGCTCGATCATGATTGGTCGCCTTGCCGGAAGGCTTCACTTGTAGTTCTGTCTTCATATTCTGGATGTTTGATCATCATGTGATAATCTATAGGGGCTTTTCATCCTTCCGTCTATCAGCTAATATGGAATCACTTCAAACCCTCTGGGTCCGATGATGTGACCTGTGCTAGTGTGACAGAATATAGGTTCTCGTTTACCAAATTGTCAGGTTGACATTCAACTTTGCGCACCCAAAAGGACGCTCGTTCTTTACACACACTGACACATAGATTTAATCCAGATCAACCTGATGTCTGAGCAAGTCCGTTCCGTGTCTCCTGTCACGTTGTTTTTCATGTTGCCCTGTTGTCTTTGAACCAGTTTTCGTCAATGAGGACCTAGCTTACGGGTGACTACTATAATGTGCCAATCTCAGATATATTCTTGGTGTGAGACGAGGCAACCTGTTTTAAAGTTTTTGCCACTGTTGAGATGTCGCATTTCGTAAGCTATTAGGAAATTTATCAGACATATATAGGGAAAAACCGAGAGGCAGACCACACACCCACACACGCAACACGATCAGCTCCACAGCGGGGCTTATGATGGCAACTGCGTGAGGCAAACAAATGGGGCTGATAAGGCGCAATTAAGGAAAAAACTAAAAAAAAAATTGAAGACAGAATAAATTTATTCAGCTCAGTTCAATGGGATAAGAAAGGAAAATAATTCGACCGAATTTCTGAAAGAAGCAAAACTAAACTTGTGTAAAAAGGAATTTCACGTGCTGGTTTGTAAACAGTCAAAATCATAGCCTAAGCTTGTTCAATATGCGTGGACTTTTCGATCAAAGTAGAGCACTGACTCATTGAATGTAAAGCCTAGCAGCGAAATCACATGGTACAATGTGAAATATCACATAAACTGACAGGTTTTGACCTCTTATGTTAGAACAGTCGGAACAGGTGACTGGAACAAACGGTATTTGCGAAGACATGAAAAATAATCACACAGAAGTGAGATTAAATTGATCTAGAGAAAACGTAACAAAGAAGGAACGTGGACAGTACAGAGAAACTGGCACAGTTGCATAGTTGGGTGACTGATCAAAATAGCCTGATTCACTAGGCCGGTAAACCTTAGTCACTTTGGTTTTGGGTAAATCGCGTAGCTGAAATAGAGATAGTTTAAGGGCCTGTATGTAACTGCATTTGACTTTTCCAGATGTGCTATTTTAAGTCTAGAATTGTAAATTGAATGGCTCCTCGTTGCAAGTTTTAGGTATAATGCAAGTACAGAGGACAAAATCAAATTGGCGGGCAAGTTTAGATTTAATCACCCAATCCAAATGTTTCTTTGATGGAGTAGAAAGACACGTGGTTTCTCGCAGTGATATTACGTAAGCGTCATAATAATGTCCATTTTTAGCTGCACTTAGACACCTTGTGATGGTGCTTGTCATAATCGGGTTGCAAGGAACCCGCAAAACATCCCCGCCGCCTTGGTTACGCCGTCTCCAAGAGCACCAACTTTGATCTCCCTCATCAAACCTGACCCAATCGACCTTCGGGAGCGCCCAGCAACTGTGATAGTGATAAGTATAATCTCGGATGGGCGCGGAGTGACTGTGTGGAATGGAAAAAAGCAGAAGTATGTTACTGCTTTATATTTGATCGCCATAATCCCAGCCTTACGTGTAATTGATTGCGAGGTCGACTTTTTGGTCCACCAACAAATGATCATCTCTTATCGAGGGATCTGCTTCCCTCAATCGGCCAAGGCTGTTATTGGACTGGGACTTCCTTGGGTCACAGCCACTGACTTGTGTTCGCCCCTCATTGTTAGCTCTCTGCGTACCTGCGACACATTTATGCTTGGTAAATGACGTTGATTTTATACTTTTGCTATTTACTATCACACCAGAGTGAGTATGTCAGACATTTTGTGCCTGAGGCTCAAGTATTGACTGTGCCAGCGCTTACCACGCCTTGAAGCGCATTCAAAATTGTTTGTTCTTTCTTCGGTTGTTGGTCTTTACACGCGTGTTTCCATAGCAAAATTTTTGTTCACGTTTGGATTTATCCCACTTGACTGGAAAAGTTGGTGGCCAGACTTCGAAAGGAACTTTCCCCTTTTATCTCATATTCTCCTGTTACACTTTCAAATTCGTCGCTCGTATTAAATTTTTATATTTGTGACCGTGCTGTTAGAAAACAAATGATGATAAGAAAAGGATTACCATCTCTCAGCCAAAAATTTATCAAATGGATGATTATTGGTTTGGGGATAGTGGGTGAGTAGGTGAAAACTTTAATGTTTACTAGACTAGTTTGACATACCCAGGAACCGCTGCACATTCTCGACCGCTGGAAATGATAAACGTCGAATGAAACAAACAAGTAGCAACATTTAATAGATAAACAATCGGGTGATTCCAGCTTGTTTAGCATACAATCATAGCGTAATTCTAGATTCCTGTGAACATTGTAAAGTTAGGTTGATATTGTATCTTCACATGTAGTTCAACGAATTTGCGCAATTTTCCATGTCACAAGGGGGCCCAACTTATCAAAACATCAAACTAAAATACCATATATATATATAGGCATAGGTTGCAGCCTAATTATTTCTAAACGTTTTTAACACACTTATGGATTTCCAAGTACGTCAATGCCAACAGACTGAAATACATTGTGTAATATTGTTCGAATTAAATGTTTCTAACTTACTGACTGAAAATAAATTTAAAAAGAAAGATGGTCACCGCGAGAAATTAAACTAAAACTAATTGAGTACAAACAAAACCACATTAACCACAATCCTTGCTATCCAGCCGATAAACTGCTGATTATTTCTGATGAATTTATATGTTGAAGTTAGGCTTTCATGTGCAGACTTTCGCATAAATACTTCTAATTTTACTGTTAACCGCAGCAACCCTTGGTTGCTAAAATGTGAACACACACATTTTATATTTGAGCAATTCTGTGGCTTTGCAGTTTTAAACAGCAAACAGATTTCAAAACAGAAAGGCAAACACTGACTAGGGGTGCGGGTCAAAATTTGGCTTGTAGGTACCTTGGCAAACAAGTGGGCGCGATGATCCCATAAACAACTAGATAACGGAATCATAGCCCTAACTGAATTGGTTATATACGTGTCTGGAAAACCAGAAGCCCGTCGTTGAACAAATTTCTGCTATACATGTAACCAAACAAGAGAAATGAAGCCCGTCGTTGAACAAATTTCTGCTATACATGTAACCAAACAAGAGAAATGAATAAACCTATATTTCTAAAACTATGGTACCAACAGTTATAATAAGATTAACCCCCTTCATGAACCTACGAGACAAAGAACTGCAAAATACCCGGACGGAAGCGGTGACTACCCAAATGAGAAATCAGTAAAAGGAAGTACAAGAAATTCATCGAACAAAATCAAAACCTCAGAAAAGAGCAATCAACTCAAAAAATCGCGAACAAGCAGGTATAATAAAATAACAGACAAAAATTACATCACACATGAAGGTAACCTATGAACCGATCGGGAGACATATATTATAACAGGAGGCAGCCCATGAGGCAGGTGAACCAAGGTCAACACCACTTTAGAAATGCGCTTCCCGATGATTAATCGAATAACACAAAAACTGACTGAGGCACAACGCACAAGGAAGGTAAAAAAAGAGCAGCTGCAATGAAGTAAGATAGCTATTAAAGTGTAGGTGCTAAAAGAGCCAACAAGATGGAAGACAATAAGAATGCAGCGCAGAACAAAGCATAAACAAACCAACAAGATACCGTGCTAGATAAGTCTGAAAACCGGCGGTTGCCGCTAACAAGTAGTTCTTAAATACAATATGAACGCGCACTGATAACGTCCTTTCTCAGGGTGGCGAAACTTTTGAAAGCCACTTACCAACTCCGGCGAACAGACCATTTGTTAACTGATCAGATGTTATAAGATTGCTATAGGATGACCAGTGAGAGAAATCAGGCGCCTTTTGTCCCTATGCGCATTTTCAAATTTCTGACGGGGATATTCATCCGTTCAGATCTATCAATTTTCATTTATTTTCCTACGTTTCTGTGGCTATGAGCAACCTGATTCTTTCGACCGAAGAACGGTGACTAGTTTTTTTGAAAACTGAATTGATTAGATCTGTCAGTAAGGAGGACAGACTACTAGTTACGTTTTTATACAACATTGCATCTTTGTTTTACCGATCCAGTGGATACAAAAGTAAACGCTCTATGGAGATCCTACTATGGAAACGTGAAATCGGTTGATCACCGAACTATGGACACTCTTGGCCAAAATCCAGCCGTTTACTTGCGAGTCATCTATTCTTGAAACTTTATTGAAAAATTGTCTCTACCGCATCCTAACTATTGTATCCCTACTGAACGTTGGTTAATAATTCCTCCTGCGGTATGAATTATATGATTACGACGCTGCGAAACAGCTTGTCATCTGGGCTTTCGCGCTAATGGATAAATGTATAATAGTCGGCAAATAACACCAAAATATTTGTTTTCACCCATGTCTTCTTACAAAACAACAAAGATTTAAAACCAAAAAACTTATTTGTCTACAATAAGTGGAGAATATTTCAAAATTTACACACCGTTCTACGAAAATAGAGCCTGAGTTTGCTTGAACGTTAGGAATTGATCAACCGAGAAATTATCGCTAGAATCAACACATCAAGACTCACGTGACAAGTTTTCTTCAGGGAGCTCTAAGGTAGGTGTTGATAAATGAATACAATCATGACATATTAAGTAGCGTACCTTCGGCATATTTGATTCTAGGGCCATGAGTTAAGCACGCTGATATAAACAAATGTTGTGAAAAAAGTTGCCATAAATGAAGGTTAGCAACAATTTAGAAAAATAATAAGAATTTCGTTGTTGGGAAAGTTTGTCAGCCGCAACATTTGGCGTACATACATAGTCTCAGATAGACGGTGAAAAACTACACTACTAATCATAGCTGTTTCGAGCGATAAGCGTGATTAATACATTTTTATCTGCTTCAATCCCAATGGTACCTCATTGTGTATGTGGTGCTTAGATTTCCTTTTCTCCAACGCTTTCTCTTAACTTTTAACTGGGACCTAATACGTCTTTCATGGGGTGGATTAGAGGTTTTAGTCTTCTTTATTTATTATAGGTGAAATAAAAAAGTTGGTGAGCATAAATTGTAACGATAGAGAAAAAATAAATTATCGGAACTCGATGTGTAAACGCCCGTAAGTTGGAGTGCCAGGCCAAGCGCTTTCATCGAAATAGACACAAATCAGAATAGCTTGCGAAAATAACGTTAATAGTACTAGGTTGTGCAAGTAAACCACTTTAAAATGATCCCGACAACTTGGTGTCCGTCAACAAGACACAGACAGCAAAAGCAATCGAAACACAAACGAAGTAATTATCCTAAATAAATGAAACAAATAATAATTTATCCGACACGTCATGCAATAACCAATAATCACTCGGGTTGGTAGGTCCAAATGAAACGTGCTAGGTTTAAATAATTCGCTTAATTAAATATCCATTCCACTTTTAGATCCTACCCCAGGATTTTGTTAAAACATTTGATGCATATGTTATTCATTATTTCCATCCATCCGTTATGTGTGCAACCTGATCAACCATTCTGTTGTTTCCGTTTTACGCTGGTGTATGCCCTTTATTGTTTTGACCTGAACGTTAGCCGCTGTTCGAGGTTGCCATATCACATATTGTTTAAATCAGTTACTTGAATCATGGTATCTTGTGACTACTTTGTCTTGAATTGGCGTAAACTTGAGTAAGCATAATGTTCCCTACCTATCTGTTCTTATAGGATCCTATTTGGAATTAACACCTTCCTCACCGGTGTATAGAAGTGGGTGTACTACCACAAGTTGAAGTTTGTGCAATTTCATTTTTCAATTAGTGTATTCATAGTACCGCGTTGGTTGATAAACCTCCGTTTGAACGATTTGAATTTTTGGAGTTTTGCATGTTGCCTAACTTGGACAAACTGGCCGCTAAAAACCTGTGTTACTAGTAAAGACCGTCAAAAAGTCCTCGCGCAACACCTCACTTGTTCGACTTTACTAGTTCCTTACTTACCACAAGCGATTTCAAGATCATTTGTTTACACATCTCGACAATCCAAGCGTTTTGAAAGGTGGCTTATTTTATTAATCATTTACTATTTTGGTCTATTATTATCTATTACTATCTATAATAAATTATTACTAATTATTATCTATTAATGTGTACGTGCATAACTATTAGAGGTTTTCCGTTGAATTCGTAATAGATATAGGTGCCCAGTGCAATTTCGCTCTGTCTTAAATTTTACGACGTCGACAGATCAAAGTGCTTGGATAGGGTGTATATTGCTTGTCCAGAGTATGAGTTTTTCACACGCAAAACTGAGTTTCCCAGGGTCCAGCTCAAGAACGATACTAGAAAAATTAAACTGAATTTAAAAATCTTTTTGCATTTAAACATAGAACACGCCATAGAATATTACCTGACTTTTGCCCTTCTTCGGGCAAACTTCGTTTGGTCTGCAAGAAGCCTATCCATCCAAGTCTTGTGGAATCAAAACGCGATTTGCCTTACTAGGGGCCGATCAGACGAGCATAAAACTCTGACGAATATTTATTTGTTCTTTTTCAAACTGAGTACTGTCTGCATTAAATAAGAAACCGCCAAAGCCTGTACCGTCATCGTTGCTCTCCTCAGGTTTGAGGAAATTAAAGTCCTCTTCGTGTTAAACTAATACCTACATCAAAAATGCTATTCTCACACAGTTGATGTTCATCAGGTCACCATCACCAAAGAAAGAACTGGCCTGAATGTCACTGGTCAGATTTGCAGT